ATAGTCAGCAGACAATATAAAAGTAATATATGGTGCTACTCACTAATTCTGAAAAAAAGTTGTTTAGTGGTATCTGACTTTGCTCACTGGGATACTTGTATTTATTCTCTGAAGTCAGACAAGTTTAGAGTAATAGGAATAATGGAATAAGCCTGGGAAAAGAAGTACTGAGTTCCTGTTCATTTCTGACTCTACAAGGATTTGAATTGTGCAGACCTACATAAGTTCCAACCTTTCCAAGACCCAGGTTCTTAATGTTTACTATATTTGTGGGAGCAACTTGAAGGTGGTGACTATATATTATTTATTCCTAATATCCAAGATGGTAAAAAAAATATTACTAATTGGAGAGCCCTTTGAGGACAAGAAAATGTCTTACTGTTCTTTGTTGCACCCTAGTATTTTAAAAATAAATATGCATGATATATATATACTATACTATAGATCACAATAGAATGTTGAGTAAATAAATGGAGATCAAGTTTGTTGCATGAATGAATAAAAGATTTATACTAATATCAGGCCTACCTGACATAGGGAGGGTCACATGAAAATACACGTGCACCTGGATTGTATAAGCTGAAAAAATTTAAGGTGTTCTCATAGTTATATATCAAACAGAACATACTGATTCCATCGTCTTTGCTCTTAGGCGCATTTAAAAATATATCGGTGTCATTTTAAATCATTCCCTGTGCTCTGCTCTGTTTAGACAGCAACTGATTAAAGTCTGCTTAGCTCTAAATAGCTTTATGTACTCTAAACTAGAAATGTATTTTTTCATCATGATATCTAATTAATTTTTTAAATGCCAGTACTAAAGCCTAGACATATGGACTATTAGTTTGACTATCAAAATATGTTATAATTAGGGTAACTATCACAGAATTTTACTACTTTTAAGAAATAAGGTTTTCTGAAGGCTCTGTTTTTAAAACCTATGAGTGGTTAAATACTGTCACAAAAGAGCCTTCAGCTTGATGTATGGGGCATATTATTACAGGGATATGTACTGTCTTATGGCATTAGGACACTTGAACTCCAGGGAGAAATTTGGGTAGAGTGTCTGGCCAATATGTTCTAGCCATCTTCCTGAAGCTGCCTAACGCTTGCTGTGTTTTGACCCCAATTCTCCCAAAGCACATTTCTCCTCCCTCTCACTATGTTTCAGACTCCCACTGACGCATCATTAAAGGTTGGGGCAGATCCTATGAGACCATAAAGTCATTCCTTTGTGTTTTACATTTAATTCTGCCCCAACTTCTAAAAAAATGAATGGGATAGCTATTCTTCCTCAACTATCTTTAATGAAACATGCTTAACTTTTTAAAAATCATGCAGTTAGAATTTCTTATAATAAATGAAATTTCTGCTATTGCAGTTTAAACCCCTTTGTTTACTTGATGGAGAGGAAAAAAATCAAAAAGCTTGCCTTGATACCCTGAAATTTCTATATATGTTAGCTATATAAATTTCTATATATATTATAACAAATATCTTTGTATTGTACAGATCCACATACAACATGAGCCAAATTATGTCCCCATGTGTAACATAAGGAGAGAAATGGTTGTCCCAAGTGTCAAAATAACAGATAAGAAGGCTTACCCTAGCTCTTGAAAGACTGTTAGATCACATCTTGGAATAATTAATGAGTGCTCTCAAGGAGCACAGGGAGGTCATCTGTGGGTCCCATGCTCCTCATCAGATATTCTGAAATTACACCTCACCTTGAATGGTGTGCTATGAATCCCAGGACACTCCTCTCCCAGTAGCTCCTTTCCTTCAACCTGGTTCTTTCTTTTCTCACAAAATTTGCTTTCACTGAATCACCCTCTGTTGCTAAGTTGTTAGTGCTAAAATATAAGACTGGAAATTGAATTAGGCAACCCTATGGATATTGTCAGTGTCTGATTATTTGAAATCTGGCAGCTTAGGCATCGAATGAGAAACATTTTCAATTTTCATTCAAAAATCTAGGACTCACATAGAGGTATTTAAGCCCACCTGACAGAGCTCTTCATTCAGAAAAAAAAGACCAAACTCTAGGGAATTTCAGTCTCATGAGATTTGCCAATCAACCATGAATTTTCACTGTGACTGTTATGCTAATGTTTGGCTGACTCCTTGGAGGCAACGTTGTCTGAACTAAAACATTCCAGTCAATTAAGTGTCACAGTCACATTCCTCTTCCCACCCGGTTCTTCACTATGTTCCACCTACACCATTCTGTTTTTCTAAAATGACAATTTAAATGAATAAAAAGCCAGCTACCAACAAATCTATAACTCTGACAAAGCTGTAGGAGCTTTTCAAAGATTCAGAAATAGGTAATTAACAATAAATTATGTATTACATCGTTTAGACCAGATTTCCCATCTGGGCAACCCTTCTAATTTTCTAACTTGAAAACTGTATGAAACACATGAGGAAATTCTCATTTGGAAGCTATATTCAGGCATGTATAAATATGTGACAATGAATCCACTATCATATATCATTGTAATGCATAAATATATAAATAAATAAAGAAGCTACATTCAGTTGAAGGTGACAAAAGAACATGTATCTACTTAGCAAATACAACCCACTCTAATTTTAAACAGTGTCACCCCTCCCAACAACTTGTGTGCTGCTTTTGTGGACATAATAGGATAAATATTTTATTATTATTAATACCTATATAAAATATGGACAAGTAGTTTGAATGATCTAACCAGTAAGTTGATCAATAATTTATATAGATTTTAAGTAAGGTAACAAGGAAAAGGAAGTATACCCTCCAAAATATAAGTGGTTTCCATTATTTCTATTCCAAATCTGTACAGTTCCATAGTAATGAGCTCACTGTTGTTAGATCACAGGCAGTATGGGTTAGGGGTGGGCAGTGGGGAAGTGAAAGAGAGGTAGAGATCACAGGATTAAAGATCACCACATATATACTCAGGGGATGCTGTAGTTGAGCCCCTCACACACACACAATCTGACTCTACTCTTATTCTCAAGGGTTCTTCTAGACTGGTTCTTTCCTTGTTTATACCACCATCTTTCTTGACCCTGGTATACACTCCAGTTGTTCACTAGGCAAGTATAACTGCTTAAGAAGTCTCTTTGTTCCACATCTGCTAGCATTCATGTGTTGCAAGAAAAGCCTTGAATTGTTCAATTTTATTCCAGTATATACTTACTGAGCTCATCGTAGATATAAGGGATACTGTAATAATAACTCAGGCCCCTTCATTTGGATTTTCTATTTCCATAATGTTATTTTCTTGATTCTATCCCCTACTCTTTGACGTTTTTCTACTTCCTTTTCTGTTCAGTGCTTTTACTACTATCCCTAGAGCAAACTCAATTCCCAAGTAATAACTTAGGTGAAGCACTGAGCACATTCAGTAGCAACATTGGGATGTTTATAATACCTACCAACTGTTCTATCTATTAGCTCCAGTCACAAAATAAGCTAGAAGAAGAGAGTAACAATAACCTCTATTATTTTATTCTTTTATTTGTAAGTTCTGCTGGAGGCAAAAGGCATACTTCAGGTAATAAAATCTTTGGCAGAGTATTATTTCATAGAGGCAACAACATTCTATAGAAAATGAGATCCTGCTCCTCTAAACACTGGGTAGCCTTTAGTAAATAACTGCCACAATGCTTACTTTACTGTGGTTTGCAATTTTGCTAAAATGGAGATAGTATTTATTACTATCTGATGGATATATGGGTTAAAGATTAATTCTCTATCTATGTCTTTTTCTTTAGATGTGAAGAAGTGCTAAGTAAAGATTTAGCATTTATAGTCTGATCATCAGATAATATGATTCAGTGAGTATTACACAGAGAACAAAAAGTCTTCTTCTTTTTAAAAACAAATTTGGCAGCTAACTTCTAGGCTGCATCTATGGGATCTAACTGGTAACAGTCCCTTTCTACAAAGTCTCCTTGTCTGAATAGGTTATCTGAACTTTTCCCTTAGAGTAATGGACTTCTTTTTTTCTGAAGGCCCTAGGAAATCATGAGAAAGCATTCTTAAGTCTCCTCCTCAAACGTTGATTTGATGAGTGGAAGAGAATCAGAAGCATGAGAGTGCCTACAACAGAGAGGTCACTAATTAAAGAATGGAACATAAGGGAGGAAGGACATGTCCTCTTGGTCTCCTTTATCAGAATACTGAAATGATGACATATCCATGACAGCTCCAAGGCCAGAGGTGAGAAGGCCTATTAAACATCCAATTTCATGGTATCCATGTTAAGAAAAAAAGAGGTTTTTCTCTTTTTACTGAGTGCACCTACTCAGAAATATTATAGATTGCATATTCAAGAAATTCTTAGAAGACACTTCCATTAGTAGTCTGCTGCCAATTATATGTAAAGTTCTTCTGTTAATAAATCCATAACTTTGTAAACAATTCCCTTAAAATCTTTGAATTTCTGAGAGAAATTCTATGATTAAAAATTAAAATTTTTTATTATTAAACGAATTTCCAGATTCACTTAGTAATGCCATTTTCAGAAAACTCCACGGTTTTGTCACCCTCCTCAACTCTCCATTACTGGGATAAAAACATAAATCATAAAAACGTTTATTAGAAACAAGCTTAAGAATTCTTTCACTTAGAAGCTCTAACATGAACCAAACACAAAAGGAATAAAAAGGAGTAATAACTCAGTATTTTAGATCTACTTCCTGATTTTTGTCTAAACACATTGTGACCAAGTGGCCTTTACATTTTTTTCATGCACATATACTTATATCTATATTTTTTTTCAACACACATATATACTTAAATGTATATATTTCACAACATGGAATGGAAACATAGCAAATGCTTAGATTCTGTGCAAACACATAATCCTTCCTGTGAAGGTAACATATTAATATTACAAAAGTAAATCATGGAGAGTAACATGCAACAACTGAGAGGAGAAAAACAGGGTGGGGGCAGGGGAATAGGAGCAACACAAAGAATGTAAAGAACGAAAAGTGTCATTGACCTGATTTGTCAGAGCTGTTGCCTGTGATTGGAGTGATGGAGCAGCTGGGATTAGCCTTTGCGCTGTCCTTGGAAGAAACCATTTTGGGTTTATTTTTCATTGCCTCTAGTGCTTTGACCTTCTTGGCATGTTTACTTCCTTTGTAGTGGGCCTCGGCCTGGCTCTACAAAGGAGAACAAATCAGGCTCATTTTTTGCTACTTACAAACACCACAATGGATGACCATGCAGGAAAAAAAAAATACATTCAATCAAAGGCACCACAGACATTTACAACTCAGCACTTGACTATGTTTCAGCATTTAATGAAGTGGTAGACCAATACCGAAGAGGTTTTAGATAATGAACCCTTCCTTGTATACAACAGAGGATCTGTATTTTTAAAAAAACAGAGATTACATGAGTGGACAACGGGATTAGGGCAAAATTGTGAAGAAGGTGAGCTTTGTCATCAGTGCCCTCCCACCAATGCCCCTTGGGGTTATTTTTCAAGCATGTGGCTGACAGCAGCAGCTTTGAGTGTCCTACTAAGGTCATGCATGTGGGCATGACCTTCTACAACCATTTCCCTTCAAACTAAATACCCATCTCTCCTATTTTCTCCCAGCTCTGTTCTGAGACAGGGTGATAAAGCAACATGTTAACAGATGCTACTGGATGGAAAGGACACTACATTCTGGAGACATCCACATATGCTTCATGGGTCACTTTGATGATTCCAGATACTGTATGTTACAAAAGAGGTGAGGATTATCCTTATTTCTGAAGTCATAGCAATTAGTGTTAAATTAATTTATACACAAAACATAAGTAGATCTGTGACTTCAGTACTAGATCAAAAAGAAGAAAAGAGGGCAAGACAAAAAAGAAAAACAAACAAACAAACAAACAAAACCCTTTCAATATAAAAAGAACCCCAAACCAAATTATAACAAACTTAGAAAACATTGAGTTAATTTATTGACATTTAGGAAATCTCCTTCTCCCTCCCAAATCTTTTTGGCACCTAGTACTAATGGACACATTAACAAAAGAATCTAATTAAATTCACTTGAATCTTATCTTGAACAGACCAAAAAATATGGAATGCATTTTGATAAGTACAGACAAAACATATGGCATAGTGATTTAATTATAAGGTGAAATGGACGATAAATCTCACAAAAACAAGATGAATTTTTAAGTAAAGATAACTTTTTTTTTTTTTTGTACCAGGGATTGAACCCAGGGGCACTTAACCACTGAGCCACATTCTCATCCCTCTTTTATATTTTATTTAGAGACAGGGTCTCACTGAGTTGCTTAGGGCCTCACTAAGTTGCTAAGGCTGGCTTTGAACTCATGATCCTCCTGCCTCAGACTCCCAAGCCACTGAGATTATAGGCATGCACCCCTGTGCCCCACTGAATAATGATAACTTTTTAAACATCAGATTTCTAAATTTATCTGTATGTGTATGAAGATGGTAGGGTAGGCTTCACACATACATGAGGTAACAACTGTAATTCAGAGTCATAGATGTGCAAAGGTGAGCTAAAATAGCAAACATGTATGCACAGGAGATACAGAACAAAATAAAAGGGACCAGAGAGGAGTGGTATAAATGAAGACGTCCTAAATTTAACCTTTTGATTTGAGATTCAAAGAAAGAGATACATAAGAATAGGCAGAGAAAATTATATTCTGGTGGGAGAATTTAAGCTTCAGGAAAGGACTGTTGCAGAAGTGCCAGGGCAGTGGGTGGGTGTGGCTGGAGAGAAGCTTAGATGGGCCTCTTGGTAGAACATCTTCAAAACGAGACTAAGGAAAGTAGATAGGTCAGCATAGGGAGTAGGAGATTCTCAAGTAAATGCATGATGATACAAATTTCAAATGGGAGGATCTCTACAATGGCTATTCTGTACATGTTTGTTGATTGGATATGAGAGAAAGGGAGACAGGCAGCAGGGAGAATATATGATTTTTCTTGTGAAATCACAACTGCAGAATGTGAATATAATAAAAATGTCTTAGCTATAATAATATCATTGAATTCTTAAAGCCTTGGCTATTATCAATCCTGCTTGCCATCCCTTACTTAAGAGAACTATTTCATTGCTAACTAGTAGATATGAAGCACTCTTCTGACAGCCCACCACTAGACTAAGCCACCTCAGGCTGATTTTTGTGTGCTGTTGGAATGTTTTTTTGACTTGGCTTGTTTCCTTCTAGCTCACCAGGCACATGTTGCTTTGCTATCTTTAGACATATAGCTATAATTGGTTCAGCAGAATTGATGGTGAGCACCACTTTAAGGCCAATGTCACTTCCAGGTGCTGGTGGGGCATAAACTCAGCTTATCCTGAATGGATAAAAGATGATGATGAATATGTTCATGTCAAATGTATGGTTGATGAAACCATAAGTGTCACAGGTCATGTAATGAGTTAAATATTATATTTATATACCACCTGTCACATCCAAGTGGGAACTTGATGATAGATTCATGCTATTGTTTTTTCAGTGGTCCTTGGTCTTACTATGTTATTTCACATGGGGTGGGAGGTGGTTAGAAAAATAATGTACTGCCTTGGTAGTAGTACACTCTAGGAATAGATTAGTTGTAATACATAAATTAAACCTAAGATATAACAGTGATTTCCCTAGTCTACAATCTCTATCCTGAATATCTTTCCATAAATATCTCTGTAGATCTTTATTGACTTCTTACTGCTCTTGATTGGTTTGCTCAAGGACTTTTCAAGTTGTTCTTTGTCAAGGTGAAAAAAAAATCCCAGGGGAAGACAAAAGTGTAACATGTTAAGTCCTTTATTTATTAATGAGAAAGTAGTTAAATCTACATAGTTGTGGTTATAAATTAAGAGTAATCAAAAATTCCAAATAATGTGAAGTATAATAATAATTATTATTATTGACCATTGTTCCAGGCACTAAATTTATTTAATCCTCACAATACCCTAAAAGATAGTTATTAGCCCACACTTTCCAAACTAGAAATCGAGCATACAAAAGTTAAGTAACTCATCAAAAGTCACACAGTAGGTATAGATGTCACTTAATGGACATAAATATTTAATTATATGCCTATATATTATACCTACACTAAGTTAAACATTATAATTTTATGTGAAGTGAAAAAGTACACACAAATAAAGCACACTGCTTTTAATTACTCAGTGAAAGATTATACCTTAATGCTACTGAAATTTCTGTGAGTTGGAAAATCTCTACATAATTTTTGGGTAATATACTCATAAGTAGCTAAAAAGGTCCCACTTTTTTAGGTATGTAACAGTTTTCACAAGATACAAGGACTCATCTTTCCAAGTACAAGAAATAGGACAGTGTTACCTTAGTGCCCTTTGGCTAAAGAAACATATGGTTCTCTAAATAAAACTTCGTACTACAAGATAAGCAGAATGTGATTTCCTCATTACTAATTCCTGGCATCACTGCAGAAGGTTAACAGTGTCAATTAACACCTGGGATAAAGATCCAGCAAACTGACAGCTCACTGGATGCCAAGATGGAAAGAGCTCTCCATAAGTGTGTTCCATTTTCCTTTTAAGCTGTGGGCATGGAGAGAAGGGCAACGAGGGTTAGCTTCCACTGACTGTTGTTTGGGAAAAGTGAAGTGGAATATCGTGGAATAAAGACAGGGTGGCAGGCGCCACTCACTCCCATTTGGCATCTTTCCAGTCCCCCTGTGCTGTTCTTGATAGTGGCACTTTGCTATCTTTAATTCTGTGTCTGAGGCAGTGTCAACAGCTTCTGCCTCCTGGGCAAATCTTCAAGTGAAACTGAGACACTGTTAAATAGCAATCAGACTAACATGACTTCATTATCCAGGAGTCTCCTTAATTGAGGAGTGAAAGCAAGGACAAGAGCCAGAGAACCCAGGAACCAGGTGATACAATCAAGTCCAATCTACAACGAACCTTGTATCATTTAGGAGAAACTTTGCTACACTGACAGCTTTACCCCCAATGAGAAATCAGCAGACACACGGTTGTCTAGTACTAACAGTATTTTCCTTCTTCCCTTCCTGAAGTGCTGTGTCCCCAAGGGTCAGTGACCAAAGAATCCTCTGGACAAGAACTGCCAGAATGATGGTTGGGGATGTAGCTCAGAGTGTGTGTTTGGCATGCCTGAGGCCATGGATTTGATTCCCAGCATCCCAAAAAGGGGAAGGAAAAAAAAGTTCATATGAAGAGTTGCCAGAACTAGAAAGAGCTGGCAGAAACACCACCCTGACCTTCCCCTAAGTATTTATGGGTATTTAGGTTCTTCTTTCAGGGATCACTCCAGGAGCTACCTGGCCACTCCCTGGAGGAAAAGCTTTCAAAGGAAATGACATCCCGAAATCTTTTTCTTCCATTAATCACCTTTGTTACTAAAGCCCTTCACTTTCCCAAATCCTCTACTTTCTCAGAATCCCACTGGTCCAAATAAAAAGGATAATAACATAAGGTATTGCTTTAGACATAAAAATGGAATGAAATATTCCCAATGAGAAGTTCTAAAATCCACTGTGCTCTCATTTCCGGTTTTTACTTTGTTACTAATTGTACTTCAGAGAGATGGCTAGGATCTTGAGTCAGGACTTTAAAGTGTGTTCGCTCTACATGAAAAAGGAATCCAAAACACAAATTCACAATGGCTAGGGAAGACCAGGTTCCTGGACAAAGAACCCAACTATTTGTTTACCAACAGAACCAATTCTTTTGCATTTGAAAAAGTAATTAAGCCTATTCAATTAATTAAATTTCTTTAATGTCATGAAAACTGCTGACATCCATTTTAGAGATTTTTTTGGTGGGGGGGGTATAGGGAATTGAACCCAGGAGTATTTTACTAGTAAGCCACATTCCCACCCTTTTTTATTTTTTATTTTTATTTTTTTATTTAGAAACAGAGCTATGGCAGAGCTGCATAGCCTCACTAAATTGTTGAGGCTGGCTTGAACTTGAGATCCTCCAGCCTCAGCTTCCCAAGTTGCTGGGATTACAGGTATATACCACTGTGCCAGGTTTTTTGAGATCTTATATGCCAAAGTGGTAGACAATGTTATAAGGAAAATAGCAGAAGTCAGTTAATTAAAAACAAACAAAAAAAACAAACAAATCCTATATACTAAGATTTCAAATTAAACATATGTCTAACA